TCTTGAACTACGTGGTCAAGTATGATCACAGCAATGACCCCACTGCTGGTACCAAGTTCTATCTTTGTTACTTTTCTCTCATTGCTGAGACAAAATACCTAACACCCAAGATGAAGGGAAAAAGGTTTATTTGTCTTATAGTTTGTGGAGGTTTCAGTTCATAATCAGCTGGCTCCAAAGCAGGTTGGCATGGCAGAAGAGCAACAGTTCAAGGCATCCAAAGACAGCAAAAGCAGCAAGAACAAGAAGAGAGGAGATAAATCTTCTTTTCCTTCCTTATACTGTAAGCAGGTTACCACTCTCTAGAGTGGAGGTAGCACTTACACCATCTTCCTTACATCCTCTTACACAGGATGAGGATGTTTATAAAGTTAGGATGCTGGCCTCCTGCTGAGTCACTTCATTAAACTTCTAAACTTCTCAAATTGACACAATGTATGAAGCATTACACAGTGTAACAGGGTTGAGAGGTAGTGGCCCATTAAGAGATTATTTAGGTCAGAGAGGCTCCATCCACATAAATGGATAGCACCTTTCTTGAGACTGTTGAATCACTTGAGAAAGGATTGTTTCTCTTAGTAGTAGATTGGGTTTTCTGGAAGTGCATTAGTTACCTGGTGTCTTGGTTACTTTTACTTTTGTCTCATTGCTAGGAAAAAATACCTGACACCCAAAATGAAGGAAGGAAAAGTTTATCTTACAGTTTTTGGAGGTTTCAGTCCATAATCTGCTGAATTCCAAGGCAGGGTGGCACGACAGTGGAGCAACACTTCAGAACAGCACCCAGAACAAAAAGAGAGCCAGAGAAAGCCTCTTCTCCTCCCTTATATTTTACACAGACTATCCCCTCTGCTCCCCACAGTGGGTATAGCACTCATAAAATCTCTATGAGTTCCTCTTGTACAGGATGAGCATATTTATAAGTAAGAATCCTGGCTCCCGGCTGAGTCTCCCAGTTAAGCTTTTAACCTGCTCAAATTGACATAATGTATCAACCATAACACCTGGTTATTATAAAACAAGGTCATTCCTGGTATTTTCCGATTTCACACAAGCTCACTTGCCACTCTGGTTCATGCTCCTGCCATAGGATGTACCTTGCCATGTTAACATGACATAGCATAAAAACGTCACCAGATGTGGCTTGGACATTCCAGTCTCTAAAATCACAGGCCAAAGTAAACCTCTTTTTCTTCAAAAGTACTCAGTCCCAGGCATTTTGTTATAGCAACACATAAGACACTGACTACAACTTCCAGTAGAGGTATCTTCTAAAGGCAGATGTGGAAACTGTGGCAGGCATGTGACTTAGCATGAATTTTTTTTTCCAGTCTTTGAAACCTCTATGAGACTGATCATTTTGCAGAGGAAGACACTGAGGATCACAAAGATAAGACAGATTTCTCAGTATCGCAGTAGTGAGTGGCAGAGCTGGATGTCAAATTCAACAGCAAACATTGGGCTACTTCTCTGAGATGAGATTTCTTGCAGTAGTCACATCATCTCCATGAATAGATTCAGGAGACAGTGCCTCTTCTGAAACAAGATACAGTCTTCTTCCAGAACCCACAGGAACTCAGCCCCCAGGTAAGAAACTGAAGCTTCTAATGAAAAAAACAATAAAGATAAACTGCCAGGGTCAGAAATTGGTTCGGAAAACCCAAACTTGACATTTTATTCTCATGAAATAGCTAATGATATTACTTCATACTTACAGGTAGAATTTTGTAATGAATTTGTGTATTAAAAAAGCAAGGATACTTTCAACACTCCTGAAAAAATCACTAACAAATGACCAAAGAAGCCATCTCTTTGCAGTCTCACTTTTGGCCAGAAGATGGGGCAAGGCGCCTCTTTGTGCAAGGTGGATGAACAAGAACACCTCCTGGTCAGCCCAAGATTGCCAGACAAGGAGGCTGCACGTGTCCTTTCTGGTGCTTGGAGACACCATGAGGGACATCCGGGAAGACCTGATAATAGTCCTGCAGGACGGTGCTGGAAAATAAGGCAAGAATCCTTAGGTAAAAACCAACCTGATCCACCAAAAACAAAAGTTAGGGGATGCAACAACTGGCAAGTGGGACCCTAGACCTGTTGCTAAGTTGTGTGACCCCACTCAAGCCCCCAACATTCAGTTGTATGGGCAGGAGGCCCTGCTCAGTCTTTGAACAGAGCAGCCTGGCTATGTACAGACCTGAGCAAGCTGCCAGGAGTGGACCCTGCAAAGCCAGGGACAGCCCCCTGCCATCTCCGGAGCTGCTAACATGCCAGTGTCAGCAGGGGGTGGAGCCAGTACCCCAGGTCAGCACTGCTGGTGAGCATGTGTCCTCTGCCACACTCCCAACTGCTCCCTTCTCCCACAAGGAGCTGAGCAGCTAGTGATTCGTCACCATCCATTCTGTATCTGTCCAAAAGGCTGACCTCTTTAAACAAAGAAATGAGGAATTTCTACCGTCTTCCCTGGTGCTTCTGTCCTAAATCCTGGGGCAGAAATCAGGTCAGCTTCTCCAGTCTCACACACACATACATATACACACACGTGCGCACTTCCAAATTAAAATTCAATGAGATCACGAAGAGTATAGTTTGCTATACACACATTTAAAAACATGAAATAAAAGTTGTATTGCAGGCAGTGACAAATGACTGTTTTATGAAGGAACCATGTAACTCCATTGAAGAGGGTTGGTAACAAGAGAGTTGTACTTAGTCACACTGGCAGACTTCTGACTGGATATCTGAAGGCTAAAAACACAAAGATCTGTGTACTTGCACTACACTAATTGGTAAATATATTTCTCAAAGCGGTATATGTTCAGGCTACATGTAGGCTATGTATGTTAATAACTTTCTTGTTCCTGGGACAAAATACCAGACACAACTTGAGGCGGTTTACTTTGGTTCACAGTTCCAGTCCACAGCGATCTCTAAGGCAGAAACAGGGGTGACTGAGGGCTGAGGGGCAAGGCAGAGGAAAATGTGCTTAGCCAGTGGCAGTCAGAAACGGACAGAGAGAGAGAGAGATGAGACAGAGACAGAGAGAGGAATCAGGGACAAGAATATAAGCCCCTAACAACTCACCTCTTCCCCTCCTAAAAGCAAATGAACTACAGAATTCATCACTGGATAAACCAATTGAATATAACAACCCCAAAAGCCAATCACCTTCAACATGCATGAAACTTTTGGGGGGCATTTTAGATATAAGCCATAACACTAGATTGAACAAACACACATGCAAAAATTTGTAGGTAATAAGAATCAGGTTTTCTTACTATACAAGAAAAAATATATAAATAAGGAAAACAAGAAGGTCAAAACGAATACCAAGGAACAACACTGGAATCAGAGGTATCAATATGTCTTGGGCTTTTAAGATAACAGAAACACCAAAAGATGTGTGCATATGCCTGTGTGTGTGTGTGTGTGTGTGTGTGTGTGTGTGTGTGTGTGTGTGCGCGCGCGCACAAGGGAGGGCTAGAAGCTGAGGTGCCCAGTATCAATGAGCACATCTCCTATCTTTCACTTTTGAACATCGTTCTCTAATAAAAAGTTTCCCTGGATTTGTTATTGCTTCCAGAGCTGTGGTAAGGAACACACAAAAAAGATGAGCCTGGAGCATCTTGAGGTGCCAGAAATAAAGGGTAAGAGAAAGGGGAACAGAGAGAAAAGGAAAAGCATGAAGTCACATTGAAGGATAGAGGCAGGCACCTGAAAGAGATCCTATCCCAGTGTACGTACTGCAGGCAAAGTCCACCAGCAGATGGTGCAGTGGGCTGCTGGACTCTCATCAAAAGCTAGGCTGATATGGAAGTCCTAACTCTTAGGACCTATGGATGTGTCCTATTTGTAAATAGACCCTCTTTGGCACAATGTAAGTCACACTGGATTACAATGGGCCTGAAATCCAATGAGGAATACCCTTCTAAGGACAGGAGATACACCACAGGAAGGAGGCCATGTGCAGACCGGGGGATATCTGGAGGTGAAGCAGCTGAGAAACAAGAATGCCAAGCACTTCCGGCAGACACCAGAAGTCAGGAGGAGGCTTGGAACAGACTCTCAGAGACTCCCGAAGGAACCGACTCCTTAGACAGCTGGATTCCAGGGAGTGGCCTCTTAAACTGTGAAGGGATGAACTTTTATTTTAGGTCACCTAGTTTTGGGCACTCTGTTAATGGGAGCCCTAGGAAAATCAGAGCTAGTAAGCCTTCTGACTAAAGGTTTAGGTGCAAATAGGATATTTGTCTACTCTCCATAAAATATGCTCTCAAATATTTTTTTAATTACAAAAGGGAAAAAATAGTAAATTTACCAAAGTGACACTTGTTGGACATCACTAGGTGACACATCACCATCAGCTTCCCCTGACATCATAGAATGGGAAGTTACCCTATGGTAACTTTCCCTAATGCAACTTCAGTCTGCCACAGAAAACAGGGAAGCCGAAGTTGCAAGGCATTCTACAAAAAAACTGAGCCATGTATCATAAAGTGTCACGATTGCGAAACAGAAAAGCAGTCCTGGCTACCAAAGATCACAGGAGACGGGGAACACTGGACAATCCAGTGCAACAGAAGTCCTGGAATTGAAGAGGTTTAAGCAAGTGATGAGGTCTAAGCAAGCTGATCTTTAGTTAACAGTATTGAACCGCTGTTCTGATTTTAGTGTATGTGCTGCTGAGGGGAGCACTGAGCCAATGCTGACTTCTTAATCAATTGCCCTGTGGTTATGTAAAACGTTAGCATAAAGGGGAACAAAGTAAAGAATATACATAATCTGTTGTTTTTGCAACTCTTCTATCTAATCTAAATTATCTCCAAATTGAAAAATATTGGGGTAGAAATATTGCAGGAGGGAAAATCCAATGAATATCTTTTCAAATGATGACTTCCTAAATCAAGACACAAGAAATCAGGCTCTGCAAGATTAAGCTCCGCCTTGTTGCAACGGTATTTTCAGTATATAAGGAACCACGGAATGAATCATACAAAACGAAGTTTTTAAGTTTAAGTTTTTTATTTTTATTTTTTATTTTTAACTCTGCTTTGGTAGTACAAAAGTTGTAAAAGTACAAACCAGACAGTTAAAAATACATTTGACATTCAAGACACTGAAAAATTTCCTTTACAAACTTTTTACATCAAGGTGGTAGCCAATGCATTTATTACATCAAGAAGCTGTATCTGGCATTAGTGTTTTGTACAGTGAGTTCATTGTGGGTCCCTGATCCTTCTGAGAAGGAGGAAAAACACATGAGCTGTAAACATCAGTTGCTTTGGGAACACTTAAGAATTCTCATCAGATAGTACAAACGAGTAAAAAGCTTATGTGTTGAAAATAGTGAATGCTTAACTTTTGGCATATTTGGAAGCCAGCCAGACAAAAACTGCTCAAGTATGAGAAAATATTTAAAATGTACTCTCAGTATAAATACAGTTTTAAATATTTTGAGTATTCTCTTGGTTTGCTTATATTGCTATAAAAGTGCTCTGACTTGAATAAAATTAAAAAAATAAAGCTGCAGAATATCTTACATTTTTATCCCTCAACATTTAGAAGGCAGAGTATATGAATATCTTAAGCAAAAAATTATGGATTTTATTTTTAAAGAAAAACAACTGGCCTAGATAGCATGTGTATTATTTACACTAATGCACACCCCAAGATCCCCAGACGGGGACTTTCTGGACAGCCATGAAACTCACTCCTATGCTGACTTCTCTTCCGCCATGTAGATGAGGCTATGCAAGATGCTGTTTACTAGTGGTCAGGAAGAAGTCACATGAAACTGACTCTACCATTCACCGAAAAGGTTATATATTTTTAGTTTGATGCAAGAAACAGAATTAAAAACAGGTATTTATAGTAAATACTTTGAAGTACATTTTTATGGAAATCATATTTTCAGGAGCCAAATGAGAAAGGTGCTTTTTCTCTTTGAAAGAAAAGAAGTATTCAAGGTGCATTACCAACACTGACATAGAGGCAGGAGTCTAGTCTTGGAGATTTCCTGACCCCTCACCCCAGATCTACTGAAAATACTATCTTTTGCCTCTGTATTCTTTCAGGTCGTTTATGAAGTATAAAGCTACAGAGACAGATACAGAGAAACAGAGTCAGAGAGACAAAGAGACAGAGACTGACAGAGACAAAGAGACAAGAGACAGAGGACAGAGACAGGGAGAGTTGGACAGAGAAAGACAGAGAGACACAAAGGGAGGGTGAGAAAGAATGAATGTTTCCAGGCCTGCAAGGAAAGAAGCCACTAAGTATCTTAAATACCAAGCGTGAGTTAGGAGACGAGAAGCAGCTGCACAAGGGAAACACACAGAGGTCGCATGGACCTGTGTTGCATGAGAGAGATGGTTGTTTTGTTTTGGGCTCAGTTTGTCATATTTTTTTAGTGAATTTAAGCCATTTCCCCCTTTATTCCATGGAGTTAAAAAAAAAAAAACAATTGATTAAGTCAAAACAAAACAGAAAATTCCCTCAGTATTTTGTGAGCACCCAAGGAAGGGCGTGATGGGAGCAGGAGTGAATGCCAAGTTCCTGCCTGGCCCAGCATCCAACCCCATCAGACTCTATGACCTTCAAGGGGTCACTTTCTCAGTGCTAGATTAGATTATTTTCCAGGATTTTCTGCCACAAAAGATTCATCTTTTGTAACAGCCAAATTATGTACAAAGATCACCTTACAACAAAAATAAAAATGGGATATAAGGTTTAGGGTAATAGCAACACACACACACACACAGCATGAGCTCACACTGCACACAAACAGTTCCTCTCCACATTACATAGTGGTCCTAAGGGGAAAGCCGCAGGGTGGACACCAAGACCAGAGCTTGGCGACTGGGAAAGGGGGTGACTGGGGGTGCGTGACAAGATAAAAGAATGAATTCTTTCCTTTTGTAGGAATGTAACGAATTTTTCACCAGACTTTTTAAAACTAAAACTGTTTTCAAAGCAAACAGTTGTGTAACCAGTGCAGCAACAATATTCCCTTTTAGGCTGTGTCCACATCCTGGCTGGCATCATGATAGGAACTACAAAATATATAAAAATATTCCTTAGGCAACTTCATAGCTTGTAAATGTTCAGTCTCTCAGGACTCTTCAAATAAAGTCCTCACTGCAAGAGAAAAAGGAAAAAGTGAAGCTTTAACAGGAGGGAAACATTACACACTGATCCACCTGAATATTTAAAGACACAGAACAACTGAAACCCAACCTCCCCCCATCCCCATCCCACCTCATCCCTTCCCCTATGACGCACTTCTAGAATTCAGTCAATGGAAATTTAAGTATCACAATTTCAAAAGGATCTCATTAACAAAGCTTGAGGAACAACAGAAGAAAAAAAAAAAGAGTTTGAGACCCCCAGGAGACTGGGAGCATCTAAGGTGGCTTCTAAGGCGGAGGAGGCAGCTGTGCTCCCTGTGGGTCCTGCAGTGCTTCTCCTGGGAGCACATTCTTGAATGCCTGTTACATTCAGTCACATAATGAGCTCCACAATGATGATCTCAACCACAAGGAACCTTGCATGTATCAGATAGGACGTCATTTCAAAGCCACACCACATGCGGATCACCTCGGGTCTCTACTGAGCATTTGAAACACTTGGGTCTTGGTTGGGTTTCATTGGCCAAGAACAGTGTTCAATGTGATGTCTTCCTTATCTTTTGAGGGTTTTTGCTGCACTGGGATTGAACACATACAGGGCAAGCACTCTTCTACTGGGGCACACATATTACCAGCACTTAGCTCTCCATTGAACCTAGAGAATGTTGTGTTGTGTTTTTATGGCATTCTAACTACTGGCCCTTGTTATGTCTACATTTACACTGCATTACAAAGAAAGCCGCCAATCTTGTAAAATACTGTAGTTTCCTGCTCTCCAAAGGGATTTTTACAAACAATTTGTCTGGTTCACAGCTTTGTGCTCTTTTACTTTCATGAATACTGAGCAAGATCAACATTATTGAGCCATCACTATCCTCCAGTGCAGGTGAACGTACACACACGTGCAGGTGAGCCTGTACAAGCCTGAGTAACAACATGGTCTGACTTCCCAACACCGTGTGTGCCTGTAAATGTCAAGCAATGCCAGAGATAAAACCGGCTTGCAGCAATAAAGAAGTACCAAAAAGATAACAAAGCTCTTAATTTAAAATTATACCATTCACTTATTTTATAGCTCAATTTTCAAGATAAATACTCCACTATCACCCATATTTCCTTTTCTGCCATTGATAATATTCATAGTGTTCTGCAGTAATTATGAGAGAAATCAGAGACAAAGACACATAAACAGAGAAAAACTGATCTTCCAAAAAGATGAGTTAAAGGATCATTATTCCCTTAGCTAAAAATAGAAATGAAATATTGTCCCCCAAAATGGCACAAATCAAGTATTTAGTGATAATTCCTAATACTGCTTTTTCACAACCCAACACAGTTGAACCATGAATTTGTACCATCTAGCTGACCACAATAAATGTGAGATTGCTTTCAGGAAAGAATCAATAAACATGAAAAATAATAGCACAGAAAAAGCTAAAATGACCAGAGATAAAGAAATATAAAAATGATCTGAGAGGGGAAAAAAAAAGTGAGAATTTTCCAGGAAAGCCTTAAATTAGGCTATTAACTAGAAACTAGGGATTTCACTATTTTTGCCTCCTCTTTTTTTCTCTCTTAGAAACTTGCATTTTTGTATTGAGAAAAATAGCAAGAGATATCAGGTCTGGTGTGTAATGTCTCATCACAGAAAAAGTTTTAACAACCCATTTAGAGTAACAAGAAAGTGACTAAGAAAGATTTTGATATCAGAAAAGCGGGGTCACTGCTCATGTTACATGACTATACAACACAGAAGCTTTTGGAAATGGTTCACAGGAGGGGTTTGGAAATGTCTAGAGATGCCGACTGATGAGGCCTAAAATGCTGTAAGCCAGAGTTTGATGGTAGATTTGTGTTGCAGCTCAGACCAGAATGCTGATAAAAACACGAATGGCAAAGACCAGGCTCTATAGACTCCAGCTGGGAAAAAAATGCTCCATTGGTAGCTGGATTTGACGTTATGTTGTGTTTTACCCTAAGAGAAAATTTGTCTATATTCTGCTCATATTCTGAGACTCTGGGAGAGACTGTGATTAAGGATGGCAGACCAATCTGTATATTTCAAGACAGCTGAACATTCACGCTGTAGCATGGTTACTTGCTTTCAGCAAGTGAGAAAATCAAAAACAAGAAGCCCATTTAAAAAGTTTTCAGTTTTTCCAGAAACGAAATGCCAAAAAAGATGGAGCAGAGCAAAGATTGCTGGAAAGATTAAAATTAAAAAGAAGTACAAGAAGTACTTGAAAGCACCACAGAACCAGCAAGATCTCACCCTTCATAGCCTCAGAGGTGCAAAAGTAAAAGATTTTGATTACAAAAGTTAGCTCCAAGGCACCCTGCTCAAGAATGGATGTTTAGGGAACTGAATCCCTGGGACTGGATTCACAGTACTCAGTCATCTATGTGTTCCAAAGCCTCTGCAGTCAGGGTTCAAATGGGGCCTGGCTACTGCTCCAGTTGGCGGCAGACCGTCTAGCCACATGGCGCTGATTTTATAGGCATGCAATACAAAAGTTGTGGGGTCAAGAAAGATTTTACCTAGATTTCAGAAGAAAGCCTGAGAGGCCAGGCAGTGTATACCTGAGAGCACAGTGTGTGAAGCTATAAAAAGAAGCTAAAAGTGCAGTGGAGACCCAAGAAGTTAATAGCAGCCAGAAATGTGGAGTATCTGAGAAAGCTGCAAGGAATGAGCAAAGTCAGCCTGAGAGAGGCCTTGAGGGCTAAAAGCCACTGGCAATGCTGTGGGGGTTGGGAATGGCTTTGAAGTATGTATCTTGCCACCACGTGCCCTTGGTTCTGGACATGGAGCTGTAAGATTTAATGATTTAATCATAGGGGCCTGATGAATTTCAGCTTGCTTTGGTCCTACTGGTTTCAAGCTCCATGTTCCTCTCTTTTGGAATGGGAATGCTTACCCTGTACCATTATAAGTCAGCAGCATTTAACCTTCTTTTTTTTATTTTTACAGGGGCTCACAGCTAAGAGCCTCTTAAATCTCAGCAAAAACTTTGGACTTGGAACTTTTCAGCAATGCTGGCACTGTCAGGTTTCTGGCAACTCTTAGAGATGGATGAAATGCGTATCACATAAATGGCTATGCCTGCGTCTTTGGGACCCGAGGACCAGAATGTGGTTTACACCTAGATGTACCCCAAGAGTACTTACACTCATAGGAAGGGCTCTTGGGAAATGACTGGATTATAGGGTTTATAATGAATGGGCTTGCTGTTAGAAAATGGGCCTGTGAGAAGAGGATCTCCCTTCCTGGCTTCTCCCTTGATTCTCTCTGCTTCCTGGCCACCATGACATGAGAAACTTCTCTGCCAGGTCCCTCCGCCATGAAAGCCTGCTGTGAAGCCAGCAGACTAAGCACTGAAAACTTCTACCAAATGTAACCCAAAATATATGTCTCTCCCTTTAAGTTGTGGGTTTCAGGTATTGTATCCAGTGGTGAGGAAAATGACTAAGACACTCCTTTACACTAAAAACACAATTCACAAATCCCAAGTATAATTATTTCCCTCCAAAAATGAGATTGATGAACAAAAATTAAGAACTTCATTCACCAAACATTTATCAGCAGTAAAGAAAGAGGCCAGGCCATCCTTTTCCTCGCAGGCCATAAGCCTGGGTTCAGCTGATCTCCATCCCTTAGTTTTCCACTGTAAATTTGTACTTTAGCTTTACAGGAGCCAACTTGCATCTCCGTACCTTCCTCTGAGGGATACAAGAAGCAATCTATGTGTTTACCCACTTGGTATGATGAATGGCAAGGAGTGTGCACATGTGCAAAAGTGTCGAAATGGGATTTGGATCTACCTTTATGCTACATCTAACTGATTCTGCATATGTTTATCTGAGCATCCCAGAGGGTCCAACAGAAACCACTGCAGCATTTGTTAAAACAAAAAAAGTTTTCTTCTGACTTTTCTGGTAGAAATAGCCAGATTCAGTATAACAGCACATGAAAAATCAAATTTTCAAGTTTTTGAGGAAGTCAAAAGGAATCATCAGATTGCTCATGTGTGGATGAAGATGATCCATTATGATAAAATACATACTTTCATAACCAAAGAGCAGTGTTGGTAGATGATGATTTTGATACTGACCAATATGAGCCAAACTTCCCATGACAGCAAAATGGAGCAAGAATCAAATGATACAGACACAGGGAATGCAGACCTCCTTGATTTAGATATGAGGAAAACAGCCACGTGAGTACATATTTGACTACTCAAATTTTGTAGCCACACAACTAAATGGAGAAATCCAACGTTAGAACTATGTTCAAAAATCTAGTGAGGCTCTTGGCAGAGATGAAATGTACTGGACAGAATGTCACCACAGCCATTATGACAGACAAAATCCTACAAATACTGTGAAATACACGAAGGCTGAAAGGCAAATAAAAAGTTCTGTATGGACAAACAACATATTCAAAAGTGTATTTATTACAGTGCCTCACTAACTGAAAGCATTCATAGGTCTACTGTACCTAGCACAGATTTCTCATGGTGAACACAGGAATGTAAAAGACTGATGGAAAAGCAATGGGTCAAAATATGACATAAAAATTTATGCCCTTGTAGATATAAAGTTTTTTATTCTTTCAATTTAGACATTTATCCTGGAGCTCAGCCATCAGGTCCTTGTTCCTATAGTAATAATCCAAATGATGTTGTAAAAAGACTTGTTGCTCCAATCTCCCAAACTAATCAAAATGTGACATTCAACAATCGATATACCAGTTTTCAAATGATATTACATTTGCTAACAGAGCTCAAGTTGACTAGCGCAAGAACTGTACACAGGAACAAAGCAGAAATTCGAAATGAGATGTTATAATTTCCTTGAATTTCAGAAAGATGTAACATTGGTCTTGTATATGGCAAAGAAAAACCAACTGGTACTGCTGATGTCAACATTTCACCATGACAGAAATACTGATACAGAAACCACAACAAAACAGAAGCCTGAGATGGAGGCTTCCAACAACAAAACTAAAGGTGG